CCGCTCCTCGGCCCCGCTCCTCGGCCCCGCCCCCGCCGAGGGAGCCGCTGCGGGAAAAGCCCGAACGCAGCCGGCAGCAGGAACCGGAGAAGAAAGGAGAAGTTCCCTCTCAGCATGCCTGCGCTAGCGCAGCCTGGAGAGCGGGGTCTCGCAGGAGTCCTGCGGGCTGCGGTCCCTGGGAGGGAGGAGGGGAGCCGCCGGCCAAATCTAAGGGATATGTGAAAAACAAGCCTGTTGTCAGTTGCTATGTATGTGCTGTATGGGTGGCTGCATGCCGTGAGGAAATGTATATACACTGCACTGCCAAAAATATTTGAGAATCACTGGTAAATCCATGCTTTTTTACCATGCCATGCCATGCCATGCCGTGCCATGCCATACCACACCATATCCACTTCTTCACCATACCTGGTAAATCTGGTTTGCTGTAACTTTGTTCTCCCTTTCACAGGCAGGACACTAGATTGGACAAGGGAGTAACATGCTGTAGGGCTGGCTAAAATGGACTCAGAACCTCTCTGGGGGTAGCACTATTGCTGAAAAAAACCTCTCTATATAGCCCCTTTAATGATCTGAGCAATCTTTAGTGCATCTAGTCTTACAATATCATCTATTTTCCCTATTCTATAGACAAGAAACTGAGTTGCAGGGAGATCAAGTGGATTCTCCCTGTTTACCCAGGAAATCTCCAGTGGAGATTTGAATTGACCCTGGATATCCCAAGTACTTTTCAATTGCACTAACAATTGTCTGCATTTCCCTTCAACACCCTGCTGCACCCACTGTCTCCTCCTCTTGAATCAAGATAAACTGAAGAAGAAATGCTACCTCTCCCTTTCTCCATAGTCCTTCCTCTCATTTCTCAAGAGGATTTTCATTGAGGGAGGTTGTTTTGGGATGACTGAGAAGGGTTTGTGGTGGCAATCCAAATTCTAGTCTTCTCCAACTTCCCCCCCCCCCCAAGGCTGACATACAGTATTATTTCCACAACATTTCCAGATGTTTTGATAAAAGCAAATCATTAAAATGAAAATAGTTCTTTATAAACAGATGGAGGAAACCCCCTTTTCTGTAGGAGTCCTAAGTGAGTCCTTTAAGATCTAGGCAGATGGGCCCTTTTTGGATGGTAACTCCTGCTGCCTTCTACTGATGGAAAATCTACCCTTCCAAGAAAGAGTCACTTGGAAAAGTGACTTGGGAGCTTCTCCGGGATAATAATTAGACACAGGCAACTCTTGGGAAGTCAAGTATTTTTCAGTGGCTGTTGCAGGGATTCTGATGCATAGCAGCTCCGTATTTACTGAACCTTCTGTCTTTGGTCTATATGTTATCAAATATCTTTTGGTTGCTCATCACTCTTGCTTTATTTTCTTTAATGATCCACTTAATAAAAAAAAGGGTTATAATCATAAAATGGCAGTATTTAGGAATGATGGACAAGATTGAGCAAAGAGCAGAAGCTTGTCTGAAAGTTTATCTCACCATTTGTATACAAACTTGTGTGATGTATATATAAATCAAGTATTACCTAAAATAGCTACATCATCTGGGGAAAAGAGATTTGGGATTTTTTAGGTTTG